TTCAAGTTTTGTGCAAAAACGCATGATCGCACCGGCTCGCCTGGTGCGTTCCAGCCTACGTTTCACTATACGCTAGCTATCTGGGAAAATGCAAATTTTCAGTCCACTAAAAAGTGGGAGTATTGCTCCAACGATCGTTCGTGGAGAAATCCAAGTATGCAAATGAACTAATGTTCATTTACATATTTGGATGAGGGCGGTCATTCGCTGCAAAATGCAATCGCTCCTGATTTTTCGTAAAGTTGAGTATTTCTCACGCCTACCTGAAGGAAATTCCACCTCCAAGCAGATTTAAGACCGCACTTGAAAGTAGAATACCCCAGCGAATTTTTAGCCTCACAGAAATTGCCCCCAAGCGAAATATCCACTTCGCTACAAAAATCTTCGAAGTACCACAAGTTGTGGCGCAAATGCGAATCGGCACTCATTTTAGGCCTACTATTTCCTATATGGGAGACAAACATCCTGACAAAATTTCAGCCAATTTTTTCTGGCAAGTTTTCGAGTTAGCACAGTACCAAGTCACAAACTTTGACGTGGTCGTACGTGCTGCACAAGTGTGTGCGGTAGCTGAATTTGAAATCCTTAGCTCGCTCATACACCGGGAATATCCTTGCAAACTTTGCAACTTGCCTGGTTTGCAAAATCGCTTCCCGCCAAAGAAATTTACATATTTTTTGAGGGGTCTGTACGTGGGGTCTAGGCGCGTGTGAGGGGAAATCTTAAAACGAGAAAGTGACGCAGGGGATAGGAACACATACCCGAAATTTTAGCTTCCCAGCTTTCCCGGCTGCTGAGATGAAAGTGGGTGACAAAATGCACCCGCTTCCATGCCCACACAAACACACACATACGCAGACAACCTCTCGACAATATGCGTTTTTGCTGGCTGTAGCGCTGCACAGCAAAAACGCATAAAAATCCTGAACTAACGTTTTATAAATATAGCCCCCATCAATTTGTTTTAAACAACCCCTGAAGGAGCAAATAACTGAGTTTTGCCAGCGGGTGGTTGCTGCAGGCATTTGCTACCATTCGGTTTAATTCAGATGCCCCTGCCTGTCACTGACAACCAGACAGTGGTTCTTATTTTGTTTAAAAATTATGCTCACTGAGTAGGAATTAAATTCGGAATCATTTTATTTATTATGAAAGGGTTCCTTGACTTCTCATAGGAAGAAGAACCTGATTGTTTCGGGCACTGTTTCTTCTTCCATTTGCCCGCAGTACAAATGTGATAAAACTTGCAGTCGAAGCTATCGATAGTTTCACCTTCCACGCACGGTTTCTCCTGCAGTGGCAGCAAAACAAAGAAATTTTTTAGTTGTTCACTAAATCCAAACTGTCGGCAATGATTCTTTAATTTATTAAGGTTTTTAAGAAATGAAAATGGTAGTTCAGACAAACCGGCGTCGGGGAGCATTCGTCGTCTGGAAGACACTTCTTGGCTTCAATGTCCCATCGGTGGAACGGCGGGCAGAAGCGATGCTCGAACACTCCTTTCCACACACAGATCATGTATTCGTTGCATTTCAAATGGTACGATTTGCCAGCCTTGCATTTCTGCAAACAAAATGCTGCTGCTCGACCAGGGAATCTCATCAAGCTTCCAACCAAGCTGCCGAAGATTTTTGAACTAGGGGGGAGGTCAGCTTGTACTGAAACATCGAATGATCCAAACATTCTACTCAGTCACTTGCTATGAAACAGTACGAAATTGTTCGTCATATTATTTCGTGGGACCGGGAGTATCAAGGTAATATGACAAGGGAAAGGTGAAAGCACAATGGACGAGATCTTCTGTTTCTTACATTCAACTGAAAAAAAGTAGTGCGAATGAACAAAACTTGAAGGAGGAGGAAGAACGGGGATATAACTTACGGCTGGGAGAGCGCAAGATGGATCTGGCTTACAGACTTCGCCTTCTTCAAAATAACTCATCCCAGGTGAACAGCTATGCTCCTCCCAGCGACCATTCGTGCACACCGAATACTGAAATGAGGTTTATTACTGGGAAACTTGCTTACTTCAGGACAAAACATGAGAGTAACACATTTACCGAACATCGATAAGTGCAAATTCATTTGCTTTCGTTTCGCAAAAGGTACAGTTTTCTGCCAAGAAATGAAGGCCTCTCGATTGCAGAAATTTCCTTCTGTCTCATTTTTGAGCAGCTGACTTGAAAAAATATCCTAATTCAACTTTTAAATTAGCTTGTGGGGCGATTTGTTATGCTCAAATCCAGAGTGATATAATCGCGATCTTTGTGACGAGGTGGTGATGCTCAAAAAATGTCGCTGACACTGCTAAAGCGGCTAAAGGTCTTACCACAGTGTTGTTGCCAGGCGAATTGTTAGCTGATAATCCATTAAGGAGACAAACAGAAGACGGGAAGACTGAACACCAAATGATGCAGCATTGGTCAAATTAACGAAAAAGTAGTCAACTGCTTAGTTGAAGAGCGACGCTATGAATTGTAGTGATCAAGGAATGTTCCACAATCTATTTTGAATTCGTTCAGACTACTCCATTTGATTTCAGGTTGACTTATCCAATTTTAAAATGACAATATTTCAGGCTATTTAGTTTATTTTAAAATCAATACACTTGCATGACCACTGCTGCTTTGTTAACCACCGGTCAATCTGACACTGCTCCATACTATACAAACTTAATCAGACAAAATGGGACATTTCTTCTTCTCAGCTGGAGCTGCTAGAATTTATACCTTGCTACATCTCAATTAGACTGATTTTGCTGCCACTTATACACTACAACGAAATTGCTCGGGTCGGGATTTAAAGTGTGTAATCAGTATCAGGGCAGTCTACTGGTCCAGTTCCAGGCATGTGCGCTTACATTCTAGGTTGGCCACAATTTTTTCAAGGTTCCGTTCAATTTTGATTCTGCTTTCAGGTGCTTCTGACTTCCCGGAAATTAAGCCAAATCTTACTTCTCTGCATGAATGAAAAGGAGTGTGTCGTTTCTCGCCATCCCTGCATTTCCAGCACATACTACCGGCTTGACCAATCGGAACGCACTGCCCGTTAAAGAAAACGAAGTGTTCGGCGCAAACAAATTCCTCCGGTACTCGGCCTCGACAATAGACGAAATGTCTGTTGCAGTCGCCCAGCGATACTGTTTGCCAGTCCCGATTTCTGGAATACACGACGGAAATAGGCTGCACATTCAGCATTCTAAATGTAATTGCTAGTAAAGCGAGGATGACCGCGTACTACTAACAGAAATCATTATGTTTTGTGTTTGGAAACGTATCGCCTTAATTGCTTATCAAATATCCGGAGTGCGGACTACGATACGGATTCCTAAATCCCGATTTCTAAATTCGTTGCGGGGACGCGTAAGGAGAAGGGTAGGGAGGCATTCAGCCAAGTTTTCTTTCTCAGTTACACAAACACTGCCTTTCTTTCCATTTCGCATATTTCAGATTCATTTTTTTGCGTAAAAAAGTACAAATTTCGGCGATATTTGGTGCAAAAGCATAACGATTTGAACTTTTGTTACTCTGATTCGCAGTTTTGTGAATTTCTCACCCAAGACTTGCATGCTCCACGTGGCCTTTTTCTATTTGACACGGTATTGAATATTCTACTGAACTTCATTTTTTTTTTTCAGTTTAAAGAACAGATAAAATACTTTATAGCAAGAGATAGGCCGTAAAAGTAACCTGCATAGATCGGGCATGATACAGCGATCTCTTACTTTTCGCGCTCTGCATCTATCCACTTTTGCGTCATAAATCATCCCATTTTCACAATAAACTATGTCGTTGATTGGCTCCCGACAGTCCACGTACCTGTCAATTGTTCACGACTAAAGACCAAGGGCCACAAAATTATATTGGTTAGTGGCCTAGCTTGAATGTACCTCCAGAGAAGTGAGGGGAGGAAGGCGGAGAGAGAGAAGATGATCCTGCCAGGAACAGCATGCCAAATCCTACGTGGTATAACACATTTTGTTCAGTTAAAACAAAAAGTCAAAAACTCCTTCCGTATTTGCTAATGGTGAGAAGTGGAAACATTCGAAAAGTAGTCTGAATGGTAGCAAATGCAGAAATCAATCAGATGCTGGCAAGGCTTCAGTTATTTTTAATTCTAATAAAAAAGCATTTTTAATCGGTTTTTCCACGGAACTGTTGAAAATACAAGCACCATCTCAAAAATTCCCCTTAACGAAAAAACTGTGGTTAATTTTTCTGAATCAGTTTGGTCACTTATTGACAAAATTTTCCAGATAATCGGTCTGGAAACCCGGCGTTGATAGTGTTAGGGGATATTTCCCGCGCTGAGCGCATCTGGTTGCTCGTGATGTTAGAAGTAGCTCAAAGCAAAGGTAGCCTTTTTCACCATGTAGTGCATTGTAGCTTGGGCTGAACAGTCGTTCTGAGGTTTCTTTTCATCGAATTCGCATTGGTGCAATATTCCTCAATTGCATGATGTCTCAGAGGAGCAAATTTTTCCATAGTAATTCTTCCTGGCGCACAACTGGGAGGGTAGACAAAACATCCGAACGGCCTCCAAAGCATTACCATACCTGCAGCTTAGCATTTCAGCCATTTCTCCTTACCTATCCGCTTCTCATTCTTCAATGTTTCCTTGATGCCCCCCTCCCAAGGTTTTCAGATGTGTGAGCTGATTACGTACCTGGAAAATCTTAGTCTTTACAAAAGGTTTTGCAAAAAGTTAGAAAAATGTACCTGGTGGACATGTGATCGCAAAGCCCTGATCTTGCTGAACGCATACGTAAGCTTGTCGTGAGCAAATTTCCGTCAACGACATGTAAATGCCCGGTCCTCGGTCACAGAAATTCATCTCCTGCAAGCTTCAGTATTTAGATAGCAGCTCCAAGACTTTGCCTTCCCTTTCACTTCTGCCTTCTTTCATTATGCTCATTCGCCTGTCGTTTTTTTACGTTTCTGTATGCAGATGAGCCAGAATTAGATAAAAATTTAAAACTGCATTCGACAAAAGTTAGTTTGTTACTTCTACAAGAATTGTGGAATAAGATGTAGGCTGAACAAGAGAACCAATGAGTTGATAACTTCTTCAGAAGATAAAATGAAAGACTGGCTCCCTAGTGGACTGATTGCCAGGCGTTACAGCATTGGTCAAAGCGATTGAAAAAGTTGCCCGCTGCACAATTGGAAAACCAAGTTATGAACTGCAGCTAATCGTCAGAATAGTATTGAAAATCTTGGATATAAGATTAGTGGGCAAGTGGGTTTGCTGACAGTGCGGGGTGCTGGCAAGGGGTGCCCAAGAAATAGGTGACAGCTTCCTTCAGACTTAGAAAAGATGACCTTAGATGAGGCGTATTACGGCACAGTCACACTGAAAACTGGAAATTTTTTGCCGATAACAGGCTCCAGTATAGTCACTGTATCACCTGCATCCTAATTAGAGCAGAAACTAAGCCTATTTCCTCCATTTCCATGGATTCGGGCAATTCTTGGTTATTTATATCAGGTTTTAAAAATGAATTATTAAAGTCCAGTTACTAATGTTTCATTTGTACGGTCGAATCAATATTTGCGATGGTAAAGTTTGGCGAACCTCCAGAAGTTTTTCAGTCTCGACGTTCATCCTCTCCATTTGTTTGGTCCACGTACCCAAACAATTCTCACGCGCAAAATCGCAACTAGCTCCGTTAAAAATCTGGAAATAAACCAAACTCTTGTTTCGGATAAGTATTCGCGTCTGTATCTGTATATGTTACAGCTTGGACGGGTCATGTTTGTTTTCAAAAATTTTAATAAAAAATAGAAAAAATTAATCCGACATCTTCATCATTAAATCAAAGTCAAAAAGTCAAAATCACTCTCTATAGCAGGCGAAAACAGTGTGGGATGATCAGTAACTGCTTTTTTCAAGGAATCCTTGAAGCAAAGCCAGTGTTGGTTTTGATTTCGAAATATGTGTCAGAACCAGTTTACCACTGGAACTAAGAAACGAATCATAGAAGGGTTGGATGTTTCAAACAAAGTTGAATTCTGGAATTCCAGCACGAGAGCAGCGCTAAAAGCGGAGCAGCCTTTTTTCTCCGAAATAGAATTTTCCCAGAGTGTATCTGCCACAGACATTTTCACGCTAGAGCAACAAAA